CTCATAGATCTCCGACGACTCTGGTATACTTCAACATATCATAGGGAAGCTGTCAAGGATAAGAAGGAAGCTATTAAGGATAAGAAGGAATCTAGATGCTGACTAGGAGATGGACGGAATGCGAACCGACCAGGGTATTTTGGACATTTCCAGTAAGTCGACCGGGACATTTTGAGAACTTCAAGTAAATGTTTTGCTTCTATATAAAGGAGCTGAGGTAACCCCAAAAGCCTAACTCCTATTCATTCTATACTCTCCTCCATTACTGCTGCTGCTCTCTCAGAGCAACTCTCTTCATCTCTCTTTCACATACTGACTTGAGCGTCGGAGGCTCTACGCCGAAAACCCCTCCGGCATTGAGTTCTTGCAGGTGTTCTCGCGGTCCAGCAACGGTTTGAAGGCGATCGAGGCAGATCTGATCCCATTCCCATCGGTTCATTTGAGATCTGAGCTTGTTTCCATTGATTCACCCCAGATCTGAGGAGAGACCCATCACATTTAATATTATTAACACTTAAATGTACAAATTTTGTATACAAAATATTTATTTTTGTTACTTTTATGTATATTTAAATGCAAAAATACTATATATATAATTTTAAAATTATTATAATTAATTATCCGATTCAGCAATTAACTCGGTAACCCGACGGTTGAACCGGTGACCTGAAGACTTGCTCGGGTCAATTTTCGGGCGGGTTTAAAAGCTATGGTCCAAACTACATGCATGTATTTATAAAATTATTGATTATTTTAATCTTACAATCTTTTTAACAATGCATAATTTGTTTCTTGCTTGATAATTAACTAAAGTTTGACTTCATTCTAATTCTAAATGCACGTAATAGTAATAGTTTGATAATTAAATATTAATTTTGAATAACGGTAATCACTTATCCAACACAATTTTTCATGGTAAAATGTTATTTTAGTTTCATATTCTTATGTCCATATGTATATTTTTGTATCTCATTTTTTCAAAATATATAATGTGTAACGCCCCGCATTTTATTAATAAAGGAAAATACTAGCTTTTAATGTTAAGCTAGCCTTTGTTAATAAATAATCATGTTCATGTTCAAGTTCCAGTGATTCATCCAGTAAATCCCAAGTCCGACTATTAGTCGATATGTTATTCGGTTGGATAATCGAATAAGTTTTCAGATTTTAATTTCCGATTCATTTAATCATTAAATGAGTTTGGAATTAATAAGCTAAGTTGACGAATTATTCGAAATATTATTATTCGGATTAATCGTCCAAGTCAAGAATGTTCGGGTTAACTTTCGAATGTCATGTTCATGTTCGGAATAATATTCCGATAATTAATCCAGTTAAAGTTCTTTATGTCAAGTTCGGGTTACCTATACTGTGACGCGATCACATTGGTACACCGTCCATCATTAATTAAGTAATGGTCATTAGCCCTTGCTTAATTAACTTAATCATATTTAAGCTAATTAATTATGATTAGCTTAAAGATAATCATGATTAGCTTAATGTTAATTAAGATTAATTAACATTAATGAGGATTAGTTAAGGAATAATCATGTTTAAGATT